GGGGGACTGGTCGCCCTGCTCTAAGACCTGCGGGAAGGGTTTCAAGAAGAGATTGTTGAAATGTATTTCTTACGACGGCAGCGTGCTGCCGCAAGAAAGCTGTGAGCCTTCCAAGAAACCGAAACACCTGATAGACTTCTGCAACGTCACGGACTGCAGTTAGATAGTATAAGTCGGGAAAGCTAAATTTTTTTTATTATTTTATTTTTTGTTTCCTTCAGAACAATGCACTGAAAAAAAGAGGGCTAGAGGCAGCGCAGGTGTTTTCGCATACAAAATTTGTGGTGAGGATCCGTTGAGGTGGGACAGTGCAAATAGCTTTCGTTGGCGTTGCATCCTAAAAATACCCTGCCAACCAAAAGTTTGGTGGGATAGCAGACCCATGTCACTCACTCGTCTTCAGCAGATAAGGCCCGAGGGCATTATAATTGCCTTTTTTTAAGTCTGTTGCAAATTAATCAAAACGTGAGCAGTGTCCAAAACAGGTTTAAGCAAGCATGTTGGGGTTGGGTTATTTCTCCCTTCTTTTGGATTTATATTGTGGTACTGATCAGGTCCCTATGTGTAGGAAGGGGAGGGAAAGGGGAGCGGAAAAGATAGCTTAAAATAATTGGTCAGGGCTTACCTACCTCACGAAGGGCAAAAAACAGGATTGGAAAAAGAGCTTTAACTATGTCATTCATGGCTGCTATTGTTTCAGAGAATAGTTTTATATAAAAATAAAGCCATATTCTCTACCTGTAAAGAGTAAGAAGTATCAAGAACAGTCAGTCAACTCCACGAATAACTAGAACGTAGTTTTTTTAAAGTATCTTTATGTCATCCCGACATGCCTGTCCGTTTCTCTCATCCACTGCGATGCCATTGTGGTGACATACGTAATCCAGAGGCTAGAAAAAGTGGAAATCTTAATGGAGCAGGTAGCATCGCTGAGTGGTTGCTCTTTGTGCCTTCTGCATACCTTCCACCGGCTTTTCTGATTCGAGCTTGGTCCTGCCATCCTGTCAACCAGACTGGCGGCATTTGCGAGCATTTGAGTCATGCTTTCACATTCAAATCTTTTACCTTACCCTAGCCAATGGAAATTATTTGCATTTGGGTTAAAAAAAAAGATCCCGCTATGAATGGGAACCTCTCCTACGTGGCCTCTGATGGGTTTGTAGTGCTCAAATCAAATGACCGATAAGGCGAGAAGACAAAGCTGAAGGATAGCAGGTCCATCCACAGCAATACGCCAGCATTCTCATAACTGAGGTTTGTGCCAGTCCATAGACAATGAGAGAATATGGCTTTCCATATGTATATAGTAAAATATATTACTATAGATCTTATATACTTTATAAGTATTTTATATTTCTTTCCCTTCTGGGAAGGGTTATAATTTGTAATAAATGCATATGAAGAGTGTATTTATTTTTATACTTCTTGTCTAATGTGACCTTCTAAGTTATCGCTTTTTTAAAAGGACATATAACAAGGATAGAGTATTTATACAGTATAATATGTTACTAGAGGTAATAAATGAACCCTATAAATTTTGGAAGTGGAGCGTCTTTATTTCACTGGAGTAAAACTAGTCCATCGAGCAGAAAGAGCTTGGAATCTAAGGCAGTGTTACGAAAAAAGCTAAACCACACTTTTCAAAATGACTGGTAGCTTTGGCTACTAATTGACTGTGTTAGTGAAGAGGTTTGGAAAACTCTACCCATAATGTCATATACCACGTTAAAAGGGGTAATTTTGTGTTTTATTGCTTAACCACTAACAGGGTGCTCAGCACTGTTGTTTCATCTTTAAAAAAAAATGGAGTGCAACTAGACTGATGCCACTGGTTTTAATAACTGCTTACAGAGGGAGTATTGCTGTCAGTGGTGTTTATAACCAAGAAAATATGTATGAAAGTAGCAGTTTTACCTGCTCCACTTAACTTTACCCTGCTGGGAAAGAAGCAGTCAAAATTCAAAACCATTAACCAGCAGTCGGAGGTTTCCCTCACGAATTGCTGGAGGGCCTCCTGGTCATGCTTTTCTAATTAGAAGTACTGTATGAATGAGCTGTGCGGATGCTGTTGGTAACACGTTTTACAATGCTAAAATACATACTAAGCATGAAGAAACTGATTTTTGCTCCCTCATTTCTGATCTCATGACCACTGCAGTTGAGGGAAAATCTTCTGTTGAACTTGGTAGGATTTTTGCCATGGAATTTGAGACATCAGTCATCTATGAATACTTTTGGCTTTGTGTCATGTAAAAATCTATTAAAACTTCCTTTGCCAATGTTTGGACTGTGTTTTGCAGAAATAGTTCCCACTTTATTCCACGGATAAAATCCTGGCCCCTCTAAAGCACATAGAAAAATTCTCATCACGTCACACTTCATTGAGCGTTACTTTGTCTTTGACGTGCAAAAATACTGGGGAACATTTTACTTCTAGTATTCGGGAGGGAGACAATCACTTTCTGTCTTTAGAAATAACTTAGAAGTGTTTATAAATACAGCAAATAATTATTTATTTGTATACTTGTATATGTGCACATGTATATTTTACTACAGCAGGTGAAAATTAGGAAAGCATACATTTTCAAGGGAAAAAAATAGGCATTTTATTTTCATTTTCTGCTGTTGTTCTTGCTCCTTGTAGAATTCATATCCTAACACGTAGCTGTTCGCTGGTTTTGCCCAAAACACTCTCCGTTTAAGAGCCCGAGGAGCTGCAGTCCTGAAACTGCAAGACTTTTCCATATCTACAGAACTGGCGAGGTCGCACGACTGCTGGGCGGTGATAATTGCCCAAATTTGCTCTCATCAACCTGGAAGATACATTCCAGGCAAGGCGAAGAAAGTCTTGTGGTGGAAACAGCTTCTCCCAGACCTGCCCGTAGCAATGAAAGCAAGCCCAAGGTGCTGGGCTACTCTCACGTCTTGCAGTAGCGCTTGTCGGGAGAGAAAAATGGTATTTCCCAGGCGCCGCCTTTCGTGCTGAAGGGAGTTTGGATCCAACCAAACGCAGCAAATTCCCTGTGTTTTAACAAAAGGCGCTAAGGTGTTCTGCATTTCCAAAATGCTCCGGGCGGTATTACCTGGGTTAGATCGATCAGCCCCATGGTTAAGTCGAGCTGAGCGAGGAATCGGAGGGTGTGAGTGAAACCAAACACATTCGGTATTTTACAGTAAAAAACAACAGTGACAGCAACTTTTTTTTTTTTACACTCTTGCAAACAACTGCATAATAAAATGAGTGATGAACTAATAAAAAGTTATGATATAATGGCAGCCTGTTTTCTGTGGCGACACTCATTTCTGTAGAGCGTAAACATAGCAGCAGGGGGGCAACTCATTAACCGTATTTGTTGCGCAGCTGACCAAGACTGCGTTTCCGAGTCGTGGTTTACTGACTACATATTTTTCTTTGACTGGGTCATGAATTCTCAGCAGTTTCATCTGTTACACAGTAATATGGCTCATGAAATTATACCTTTTTTTTAACGGGGCCGGGTTATAGAGAATGTGCTCTAAATAATGTATTAATTAAGCAATGCAATCAAAGAACTGCTCCTGCCCTAAGCACCCTTTCATTACAAGAAAGTCTGCTGCTCTGGGTCACCCAGCAAGGGGAAACAAGCAAAACCAGTGGAGCCTAGTTTAGCTGTGTAGCAATCAAGATCACAGTTAAACACACCCCATGCACCCAGAGACTGGCAATTTATAGCTTTTATTACGACGGGCTGGATAGTGGAGTTCTTTTTGTGTGCACGCTCGTTACCATGAGCAGGGATTGCACGGCTCTGTTACCGACTCCTAAGGCACACCCTCGGGAGCTTCTGTTGGGCTGAGCACGGGAGCTGGCGCTTTCTGCCCGTCTGGGCGCTCGCTCCTTGTGCCAGGGCCGCCGATGCCATTGATGCCCTGGTGGGCTTCAGACTCTAGACGAGCATTGCTGGGTTTCAGACCCTAGATGAGGATTGCTGTTTTCAGCCAGGTTTTCTCAGCTGCCCAGCTTGGCAGGTTGGGTGGGAGGTTTCCAGCTGCAGAGAACCTCTCTCCAGTTTGGAGCCAAGTTTGTCCAGCTTCCTCCCAGGTTCAGAGAAGTCAGCATTTTTTTTTAACATTTTGGTGTCATAAGATGAATGGATTTAGATGAGTAGGGTGGGCTTGGTAGGTGAAATCTGTGTCGTCAAGTAATTTAAGAGGTGTGGGGAGAGGCAGGTGCCTAAATGAATGCAATGCATCTTCTTTCATCAGTCTTGGTTTCCTTGCTTTCAAGGCTGAGTGATCTTCCAGTTCTTGGTAAGGCTAAGGTCTCTCTGTTGGCAGAGTGGGGCAGATGAAAGCAACCTGGTGAGTAGTTCTTTGTCATTTCAGGCATTATGAGACTGAGGAAAAACTCTGTGCAGCCTTTTAGCGGCCTTAAAGAGCTTAGCATTAAGTCCATTTGGAGGCTAGATCTCCAGAACCCGATCTTCAAACTTCACCAAGTTAGAAAATAACTGGGAATTTGAAGAGGAAAATCGTTACGCTGGAGAACTACCTTCCAGGCTGATCAGATGTAAAATTGTGGTTATCTGTGCTGGGTAAGCACTGTAAATGGTGCTACCAGAAAATTTGGAGTAGCTCTTTTCCTGTGGCACTGCTGAAATCATAAATGATATGATTTACAGCTTGAATTTGTACTAACAGTAAATAGGGATAAAAAACCCCAGTATGTGATGGGGTTTTTAAGCTTCTGTGTTCCCCTCTCTTTAGTCTTCTTGCTGTTGTAAAAACAAGAGATGTTGATGTTGCCCAAATAACTATTTTGCCACTGATTGTAATACATGTGGTTTCAGAGCAGAGAAAGGTTGGTTGCTGTTATAGAAGTTGGTTCTGTGTGAGCTTTCAGGGTAAAGAAATAATTCTGTATATCTGGTATGGAAAAATCCTGAAATTGTCTAGAGCCACTACATACTTCAGCAGCTGACACCTGCATTTCAGAGTCATTGGTTGCTGAGTATATTCAGAGCTGTAATTTTAATGTCGGGACACTGAGTTAGAGAATAAAGGCCCCAGAGTTATGTGTATGGACAACACTCTGATTTGCCAGGTACTAGCAAAGCTGGCATTTCACCTTCCGAAATGCAGCTCCATATAGCATGTAATGTGGCAACTGGGTTCCTTTGTCCG